GGTTGGCGATCGTTCTCCAGGGAGCACCCCGTTCATTAGTGAGCTCACATTACAAAAGCTGCCCAGGAAAGAAAATAAAAGAAAGTGTAAAAACACCCCGGGGGGCAGACACTTGTTTCCGCTTCACAGCAGTCTGCCAGTTATTGGCTATGCTATGGATTTACAGCGCATGTCTATGTGTTCCCAAGGTGTTAGGTGGCAGGAGCTCCGTTAGCATAGAGGTGAGGTTAGCCACATGTGCTGTGTTAGGAATGCTTGGGAAAGAACTCGCAGATTGTGGACTTTGTGGCTTTGTAGGGTCTTTGAAACCAACTCCCAGCTCCGGCTTTATGGAGAAGGGGGAGAACAATCTCTTCCAGGTTGCAGCTGTGTGCAGTGCGGATTTGGGCAAATTCTATTCCTGTTCTCCAAAGTGGAACTCCCGGTAATAACTCGGCGTTATAAATGCTTAGAGGTATAGATCACCTTGTGCAGAAAAATAATACATTTAAGAATATAAAAAATAAAAATGTGCATTTCATTATTTTATTGCATAGGGGCCAGTAAAGCATTGCAACCATGGTTAGTAGATCGCAGGTGCAATGCTCTGGCTACTGCAGACTCTTTCTCCCAGTTCCTGTCTGTGCCAAGGTACAGACATTTAGTTATATGGACAGGAGGAATCGTCAATGGACGTAAATTGCAATGACATCACCGCACTTGTATTCCGTTGAGAACTAGAAGTCTCTCTAACGCAGTAGCAGACCGGACTTGTAGTCTCTCCACTCATAGATCCTGTCAAAGGATCCACAATAGATGCGTGTGGCTTTGCCCATACAGCCTCGTCATCCATTCACAGATCCCTTTCATCAGACCAAATTCAAAAGATTACAGCAGACTGTAGGGAGAAGGAGCCTGCAGTTCAGGTAAGTCAGGGTGGGGGCGGAAGCTGGGGATGTGGCCATGTTACACCCCAAGTATGGATGGAACATGGTATCGAAGGTCATTTTTAAAGCATAAAGGTGGCCATATACTTTAAAGGAGAACTCTGCGGTTAAGGTTTTTCCCCATAGTTCTCCTTAGGGTAACGGGAGGACACGTCACCCTAGGTTCAGTATACCGCGAGCTCTAGCTCGCGGTATACTGAGACGCCGCAGCTGAAGCGGATCCCGACAATTGTGCCGGGATCCGTCCAGCTGCGTGAGTGACAGCTGGCTCTGCCTATCTAGAGGCAGAGCCAGCTGTACCCTCCCCCGTCCGTTCCGCCAGTCAGCGCTGGAGGATCGGAGTTGGGAGGGGGGAATCCAGCCCCTCCCCTATCACGGGAAAGAGCCGTGACAGGATCGAGAGGTGAGCGAATGCCGGTATGTGTTTGCTCACCTGCCGATCTACTGAGCCGACCTGTGACAGTCTCATTGTCACAGGTCGGCTAGAACTATGAGGTGAGTGAAAAGCACTCACCTCATAGTTCTCCTTTAAGTATCGGGCCAGGCATCGGAGCATTACTTGTACTCGCCCAAATACTCGGCATCGATACCAATACTAGTATCGGTCCACCCCTACTTATGTCCATACTGACAGTGTAGAAAGCAGTTAAATTGGCCCTGCAGACACAGCTCCCCCTGGGGCGGTGTGTTGGACTGTATATAGAAATGATCCTCATGGTACATCGCTGGGGGGATTCTAGGGAATTGGATGAGGTTTTTGATTCTTCTTAATGCCATGGAGTGCAATTTAGAATGTACTCCACCAGCACCAATACCTCGGATATGTCTGTGAAGGTGATGTCACTAGGCACCAGATATCTGCCATCACATGTGAGGAAAGAATGAAGTGGGGATTGGATGTGAAAGGCGACCAGCTGTCCTCTCTGGGATAGTCGGGGCTCTTCCTGTGGGACGTTGGCCATATGAGACGCGATTGTATGAGTGGTGTAAAAGAATGCCATAGACTCAGATGGCTGCAAGAATGACCCATTACTAGGGCTAGAATATAGCTTTTCGTAGATGTCCGTCTGATCTCTAGGAGGATACACCTCGGATGGACCATAGGGAGCGACCACTTAGATCCCTACAATTATTAAGGAGCATCATCCTATTATGGCAGAAATGTGTTGTATTCTAGAAACAACTTAAAGCAGGGCTAAGCAACTCCGGCCTGTCAGCTGTTGTGGAACTACAAGTCCCATGAGGCATTGCAAGACTGACACTTACAGGCATGACTCCCAGATGCATGACAGGATTTGTAGTTAAAGCACAGCTGGAGGGCAGGGGTTGCCAACCCCTGACTTAAAGGAGAATTATGAGGTGAGTGATCTACTGAGCTTTTGGTGACGGGAGGGTGCTAGTTTGTGTCCTCCGGTTACTCTTAGGAGAACTATGGGGAAAAGCCCTAACCCCATAGTTCTCCTTTAAAAGGAGGAGAGCCGGTACAACTGTGCAAGATTAAAGGGAAGCCGGAGTACGACCAACAAATAACAAATGCAGTATGAATGGATCCTTGTCCACTTTATTTTCAAAGCTTATTTTTGGTGAAAAGTTTTGCAAAGTTTCAAGGCCATTAGCAGAACCAGAAGCCTGGAGCCTCCACCACGCTGCCTCTGTGTGCTGTAGGGACACCGACAATGAACCCGGCCATGTGTAGAAATGTTCCTCCCAGGATATGAGTGCGCAGCTCTATAACTGACCTCCAGCGTTCAGTGCAGGGGGTTCTGCAGCTCCAGCTTCCACCGATAACAGAAAAGCTCCGATATAGAGATAACCACCCAGAGTTCTCCTATCTGCGTCTCATAGAATGTGTATGTGTTGTCACTGTACTCCACTCATCCTGCTTTTATTCTTCCAGAATCCTGAACAGTAATAAGATGACCGAACTGAACAATGGCTCCTTCGAGGGACTCTACTTTCTAGAACGCCTGTAAGTAATTAACCTCATTTATTTGGTGTTGTGTCACATGAACTGATCACAAAGCAGGAAGGAAAAACATTGTTAATTAACTTATTAGGTGATGATCTTCCCTCACCATGGATTTCAGAAGGACGGTACAGGGATTGGCCCTTTGTAGGGCCCATTAAGGTGCAGATATCAGAGCTCTGTCAGATTTTGGCTTAGCTGGAATTTTTTGGCTAATGGCGTGTTGTTTTCCCTAAGATATGAGCATCATCAAAGGTTGTTATATATACATAAAAGTAAAGTGACCCTGTCATTACTAGCTGGGCCGCCATTAGAAAACATTGCGCCCTGTACACCCTACCTGACAGAGCCCCATTCTAACTAATCATCGCCATCACACTCTTCCTACGCTGCTCACCTCTTCACCCCTGCATCTCTCTTCCTATACTGCTCACGTCTGCACCCCCTGCATCCCTCTTCATACACTGCTCACCTCTGCACCCCCCGCATCTCTCTTCCTACACTGCTCACGTCTGCAGACCCTGCACCTCTCTTCCTACACTGCTCACCTCTGCAGACCCTGCACCTCTCTTCCTACACTGCTCACCTCTGCAGACCCTGCACCTCTCTTCCTACACTGCTCACCTCGGCAGACCCTGCACCTCTCTTCCTACACTGCTCACCTCTGCAGACCCTGCACCTCTCTTCCTACACTGCTCACCTCTGCAGACCCTGCACCTCTCTTCCTACACTGCTCACCTCGGCAGACCCTGCACCTCTCTTCCTACACTGCTCACCTCTGCAGACCCTGCACCTCTCTTCCTACACTGCTCACCTCTGCAGACCCTGCACCTCTCTTCCTACACTGCTCACCTCTGCAGACCCTGCACCTCTCTTCCTACACTGCTCACCTCTGCAGACCCTGCACCTCTCTTCCTACACTGCTCACCTCTGCAGACCCTGCACCTCTCTTCCTACACTGCTCACCTCTGCAGACCCTGCACCTCTCTTCCTACACTGCTCACCTCAACGGCACACCTTTTGCATCCCTCTTCATACACTGGTGACCTCTGCACCCCCAACATCTCTGTTCCTACACTGCTCACCTCTGCACCCCCAACATCTCTGTTCCTACAATGCCCACCTCTGCACCCCCAACGTCCCTCTTCCTACACTGCTCACCTCTGCACCCCCCGCATCCCTCTTCCTACACTGCTCACGTCTGCAGACCCTGCACCTCTCTTCCTACACTGCTCACCTCTGCAGACCCTGCACCTCTCTTCCTACACTGCTCACCTCTGCAGACCCTGCACCTCTCTTCCTACACTGCTCACCTCTGCAGACCCTGCACCTCTCTTCCTACACTGCTCACCTCGGCAGACCCTGCACCTCTCTTCCTACACTGCTCACCTCGGCAGACCCTGCACCTCTCTTCCTACACTGCTCACCTCGGCAGACCCTGCACCTCTCTTCCTACACTGCTCACCTCTGCAGACCCTGCACCTCTCTTCCTACACTGCTCACCTCATCCTACACTGCTCACGTCTGCGCCCCCTGCTTCCCTCTTCCTACACTGCTCACGTCTGCACCCCCCGCATCCCTCTTCCTACACTGCGCACGTCTGCACCCCCCGCTTCCCTCTTCCTACACTGCGCACGTCTGCACCCCCTGCATCCCTCTTCCTACACCAGTGGTGGCGAACCTTGGCACTCCAGCTGTGCCAAAACTACAAATCCCAACATGCATCTGCCTCTGGGAGTTATGTCTGTGGCTGTCAGAGTCTTGCAATGCATCATGGGACTTGTAGTTCCAAAACAGCTGGAGTGCCAAGGTTCGCAACCACTGTCCTACACTGCTCACGTCTGCACCCCTCTTCCTACACTGCTCACGTCTGCACCCCTCTTCCTACACGGCTCACGTCTGCAGCCCTTGCACCCCTCTTCCTACACTGCTCACGTCTGCACCCCCTGCAACTCTCTTCCTACACTGCTCACGTCTGCACCCCCTGCACCTCTCTTCCTACACTGCTCACGTCTGCACCCCTCTTCCTACACTGCTCACGTCTGCATCCCTCTTCCCACACCGCTCACCCTTGCACCCCCTGCATCCCTCTTCCTACACGGCACACCTTTTGCATCCCTCTTCATACACTGGTGACCTCTGCACACCCAACATCTCTGTTCCTACACTGCTCACCTCTGCACCCCCAACATATCTGTTCCTACACTGCTCACCTCTGCATCCCTCTTCGTACACTGGTCACCTCTACACACCTGCAGTCATCTTCCTACACTGCTCCCCTCTGCATCCCCTGCACCTCTCCTCCTACACTGCTCACCTCTTCACCCCCTGCTTCTCTTTTCCTACACTGCTCGCCTCTGCATCACTCTTCGAGTCGAGTCCTGCCTTCAGATATTCTCACTCGTGGCCTAGTGTGACGTGTCTCCTGTACAGAACAGAGAGAATGACCAGAAAGGACCCGTGGACGCAAACAGTGGACTGCGACCTAGAATAGTTTGGCATGGCATGTACTTCAGCAACTGTCTAATTGCTGGTATACCAGGCGCAGAACTAAAAGATTTCTCTGCACTTTTATTTCCCACATCCCATTCCCATCTTCTAATCTGCATGGGAGGTACTGGTGACCCCAGATAGACATTTTCATTTATAGATGGCCATGTACTCAAACTCAATTTGCAGGTAGAATAAGTAGCCAGGCTATGGATATTTGGGTATTTCAATTTTTTAACATGCAACAAATAAGGAAAAAAAAGCCTTTACTGACCTTTTGTAGCTGTATGCACTGTACAAAAGTTCATCCTCTAAGGTCAGAGACACTTAAGTTATTTAAGCTCTGCAACCCTTTCAGCAGTGACGTGACAGCTCTACTTCCCCTCTCCCAGCAGTGACTTGGCAGCTCAGCTCTACCTGCTCCCCCTCCCAGCAGTGATTTGGCAGCTCAGCTCTACCTGCTCCCCCTCCCAGCAGTGACTTGACAGCTCAGCTATACCTGCTCCCCCTCCCAGCAGTGATTTGATATCTCAGCTCATCCTGCTGTCCACTTCCCCCCTTCCTCAGCAGTCTGAAAAACCAGGCACTTTCTGTACATTTCCACCAAATTCTGTGTTCCTCTACCATGTATGATATATGTAAGAAACAAGAATGTACATTTGACTATTTTGCAAGGTGAGTAATTAGGAAACGTTCATGTTTGTAGCCAGTGTCAGAAAGCTGGTATTCTGAGCCCCCAATACATCCATGTAATGATCATACAGTGATGGTGTGTACTGAATATTCCAGGTCATTGTACTTCCATCCTGTCAGTTCAGCGTCACATCTTCTTCATATAACAATAGAAGAGAACAAAGGGAGCCCCATTCTGAGTATATAGACCTGTACAATGTGCTTTACATTAAGCTGTGGTGGGAACTTGAATTCTGTTTGTGGTGCGGCAGCTCCGGCGAAAGCTAGAATCCCTGAGGAATTTGTGGGACAGGAAATGGGGGTGGGGGGGATAGGGGCAGGCCCAACAAAACTCATTTTACTGGACTTCCTGCTATTACACTGCTGAAATGGACACCGCTGCACACCATGGCCTTGTCAATGGCTTTTCATTCTCTGTGCCCGTCACCTTTTATAGAACAAACGGCGCCAATCATTTTTAGTTTAAACCCTGCAAGGGTTAAGTGCCCATTTGGTCTGCGGGGGCTCAAATAAAGTAGATCTACTCGCATGATCCTCAGTCCCGTCGGGCTGCTAGACCGGTTCTTTTCTCCCCTTGGATCCGGTGGTCTAAGGACTGCGTCTAAAGCAGGTCCATTGACTTGCATTAGACATGAGGATGTCGGGGGACATTCCATAGCCAGAGCAGTTCCACAACAGCTGGAGGGTCAGCACTTGCCCGTCCCTCCTTAACCCATAGAAGGCGATCTGGTCCCCTGCAAAGCGCCGGTGGAATCTGCCATCTGTTGTGTGTGCATATTGTATGCCCGTTTCTGCTGACGGCAACATCACCAGTGTGACCCGCAGCGGGGAGGCTCTGACACCCAACACACTTGAAGATTCTCCTGTAGCTTTGACCTAGCGGTGCTAGCGGAGGCCGTACTGGTAAGTGTTAGAACGTCTCTGCACTGCCACAGGCCTCTGTGAAAATGTCTTCCCTTCTGCTGGGATCATATATCAAGGCATTCACCAAATCCTGTAGACGTGTTATCACCGGCCACTCTCTGCAAACTTTGCACCCGCAACATTCTGTCTCAATGGCATCCCAGCAATGCCAGGGCTATGTTTAGCCTACATCTGGACTGAGCTCTTCAGGACTGGTACAGGACTGCAAAAACACAGTAAGAGGGATTTATCAAAACTGGAGCAGTTGCCCATGGCAACCAATCAGCTTCTATCTGTCATTTTCAAAGTTTAAACTGAACAAATTGAAGAGAGAAGCTGATTGGTCACTATGGGTAACTGCTCCAGATTCTGTCTTCTCCAGTTTTAATAAATTCCCCCCAATATACCTTGTGGTCCATCTGATTATAGCCTGTTGGTTTGCTGTCATGAGTCCCAGCGGTTGCCTTATTTATTACAAAATCCTCTATTACCTGTCACACATATTTACCCAGAGACAATAGCAGACAATCGGATGTCCACTTCCAGTCTAGTAGCTCCTGTACATGAGCGTATTGCATAGCAATGGATGAACAGAAAACCCTGTACCCTACAGAACAATCACTCCCCATACACTGTTTATTACAATCTAACACATATTAACACTAAAGCTGGCCATACACTTTAAGATGTTGCAGTTCGTGGGCTGAACCAGAGAAAACACTCGATTCCACCATCCACACTAAAGGGCATGGAGGGGGGAATCTCCCCTGAGACCTGCAGCTGTCAGAATACCCAGACAGTGGCTGCAGCTGATTGACTTCAGCCACTGTTAAACTTTTTGGCCACCATGGATGAAGCTTTGGCTGATTCAGCAGGTAACAGCCAAAATTCAACCCATGTGTGGCCAGTATAAGGATAGGGTAGGGAAATGAGGTTAGTCCAGGGCCTGTATGAACAGAGATTGCAGCAGTCACAGTCTCTTTGTTCAGATATTGCCCACAGTAACCAGAATCTTTTCACTACCCCTGTGCACTTTTTAAGCTAGGAAGGGATTAGGGATGCACCTATAGCGGGTTTTTTTGGTATCGAGTACCGATACTTTGCTTTCTGTACTCGTTGGTACCGATACCGGTGCTACCGCTGCCATGGAGTCAGCTTGCCAGGCAATCTGATTGCCCAAAAAGCTGGCTCCATGTTGTATGACCGGCTTCTGATTGTGCTTGACCGGGAAAACCGCTTCCCTGCCAATCAGCATTGAGCCAATTGCCAATCAGGAAGCCAGGCGGCGAGTATTGACCCCCCTCCCAACTTCCTGATTGGCCGGGAAGCCGTCTCGATGCTGATGGGCTGGAAAGCTGGCTTCCTGGCCAATCAGGAAGTCGGGATGCGTGTCATTACTCGCCGTCTAGCTTCCTGATTGCACGGGAAGCTGGCTCTATGTACCCCTACGGAAGTCTTCCTCTGACCGGAAGTTCCGTTATCGGGGAAGGTATTGGAGCATTTGGGTGAGTACGAGGTATCGGCACAGAGTGATCATCCCAAATACTCAGTATCTGCACGGATGATCAGCTTTCTTTGGATAACTCACCTCGTGGGCGTGGGGGGACGGGGGGGAGCAATTATTTTATAAACGTATCTTTCATCTGACAGTCTGGTTTGCTCGTAGTAACTAGTGAGATTCTTTGCAGAGTTTATGAGAATGAAATGAAGAATCGGCTTGTCCTCTGACTCTGTTCTCAGCAGCAAATAATGAACATTTCTTAACACGGAAGACAGGGAGTACTTGTAACTCTGATACTTTGTTTTTTTCAGGGACCTTCGAAATAACCTGATCAGTCTAATCGAACCCGGTGCCTTTTCGGGGCTAACATCTCTTAAACGACTGTGAGTATTCAGATTATTTATTAAAAGGCTGCTATGTACGCAAGAACAAGAACTGCACTTTTCATTACCATGTCCCGACCACAGAACACTTTTAAACAATTTGTTTTGCAAGCCTGCCAAGCTCTGAATTTGTTCCTTTGTACTTTGTGTCATAGAGCTGATTGAATCCAGATACAGCTTAGCTCTCTTGTTACTTAGACAGGATGAAGGTCACTTCACATTCAGGCTTTAAAAAATGCACGGCCTTGTTCAACTATCCAGTAGAGTACAAAAACATTTCTTTCAGATTTTAAATTTTTTATGGGACTCTATTTTTAGAAGAAAAATGTAAAGATATCAAACATACATATATGTAATCACTTTAAACTCCAGACCGTGTGTGTAAAAAATCTAATAAATCTAATAAAATAAATACATAGATTAATATACAGTATATAATATGTGTGTGTGTGATTTATATATATATATATATATATATATAAATTAGGGATGCACCAATACCGTTTTTTTCGGTATCTAGTACCGATATTTTTTTTTCCCGGTACTCGCTGATACTGAATACCGATAGTACCGGGTGGTGACGAGGAAGCATGGACCCAGCTTTCTGGGCAATCGGGAAGCTTGTGGGGCGGGTACTGACTTGCCATGCGGCTTCTTGACCGACAAGCCTCCCGACCAATCAGGAAGCTTGGCTGCGTGTCATTACACGCTACCCGGCTTCCTGATTGGCCAGGAAGCCGGCTCTACGTTCCCTTGTAAACCAAGTGATGAGGGAGCATGGAGCCAGCGTCCCGGACAATCAGGAAGCCGGGCAGTGTGTTATGACTAGCTGCCTTGCTTCCTGACCCCGGAAGTTTGAGTATCAGAGCATTTGGGCGAGTACCGGTACTCACTCAAATACTCAGCATCGGCACTGATACCAATACTATTATCGGTGCATTTTGTGGGAACATCGCAAGTTATCTGCTGCTACAAACTCTGTGAACTTGTACCTATTTATGTGTTATGCTGCCTTGTCCATCAATTGAAGCTCATACTGTATGTATACTACATTTTATTGTGTTCTGTTCTAGTTCTATATTGTAATGGGGAAACTAATAAACATTTTGTTTTATATTTATATGTGCACCTAAAAAGCCCAATTTGTTATGCTTTTGATGCCTTTATGATGAGGGGCACGGTGGGCTAGTTTTGAAGTTTAGTACGGGGAGGAAGGAGGGTGTATCCCTGTTATTGCTTTGATGGGGTGAATGTGAAGAACCAATCATTTAGCCTTGGGGTGTAGAGATTAAACCTCCAGTCCCAATTACACATTTATAATTATAATGTTCCAGGAGAAAACATCCTGGCGTCTGGTAGTACAGGAACCTGAATTTTAAATTGTGCTCTAATAATCTTTAATACCTTTTACTGGCTAATTTAGGTGATCGCTGAAACTCCAAACTTTCTGCATTCTAATAATAAAGTCTTCTTGTCTTTTTAGAGACCTTGCCAATAACAGGATTGGATGCCTCAATGCTGATCTATTCAAGGGTCTCCCCAACCTGGTTAGACTGTGAGTACAATTGTGTTTGCATTGTTTGTTCGGAATTGTGTGTTTTCTACCAGCAGAGACTTGTCACCGGCTAAAAAACCTTTCCAAACACTCCTCAATGTGAAACAATAAGACTTAGATCTAATAGGAAGGCGCAGAGAGAAATGATGTGAACATACTTGTTCCTCCCAATCAGATATGTGAATGTTGGTGCACTTAAATTATTTAAAGAATAATTACACTCAGGGGAAAAAAAAACACACAGGGCCAAGATAAATAATTTAAAGCATTGTACCAAGTATAATTGTGTACCTTTTTTAAAGACAAAGTTGAGTGACGAGTCTGAACAGGTCCCTCAGCATTTTTATATAATGCAGCTCATTATCTCCCTGCCAGTTCATGCGCACATTGTATTGTTGGAATTTGGGGAGGTGTGGTCTGTGTCGGATTGGGATTTCACTGCTAGCATGCTTGCCACAGGCCACTCCTCCCTGTTTCCTAACTGTTTATTTGGGGTGAGCACCCAACAGAGAAGGGATACTGAACAATAGAATGCTCCCACACTCCCGGAACCATAGAACACATTCACTTCTAAACTGGGTTCGTCTCCATTAAAGGTGCATAGTAATACTCAAGTGCAAAACTGTTTACTGCAAAAACCTAAAGCTGAACCACATGCACTAAAACTTCCATTCCAGGGAAAATGTATTATTAACCTTTGCAGTGGGGGCTACCCCGGCACTGCAAGGGTTCAGGGCTTGTTTTGGTCTAGGGAGAATATTGGGAATATGGTAAAAGATAACATCTCTATGGTGAGACTTCTTTAAGAGAAAGGTGGTACAGGAACAAATGCAATTCTTTTATTTTGCACACATTCCTCACCTCTTTCCCAGCTCTAAACCATTTCACCTCCATTCCTGACTTGTACTGTAAGTTGGTTCTAAAAAATATTTTAGAACTTACACAACTGGTGTGCAGACCTGGGAGCAACAGCGCATTGATCTCATTGCTTCTTTCCTAGAGGGATGTATAAAACTGTTATGTGGTTTAACTTGCCATCATTTACCAAACAGTTTTGGGTGACTGGACCCTTAAAGCTGAATTCTAAATAAATATATATAGAGCTGTTTTATACATACAGTATATAATCCTGCCAAGTAGGGATGCATCGATACCAGTATCTGTGCCGATATCGAGTACTCGGCCAAATATTACCGATGCTTATTCCGATACCGGAACTTCCGATATCAGGAAGCCGGCCGGCGAGTCATTACGCGCCGCTGGCTTTTCCGATTGGCCTGGAAGCTGGCTCCATGCTCCCTTGTCACCAGGGAGAATGGAGCCGGCTTCCGCGCCAATCTGGAAGCCGGGCGCCCAGCTTCCTGATTGGCCAGAAGGCCACCTCCATGCTTCCTTGTCACCTGGTGATGAGGCAGCATGAAGCTGGCTAATCAGGAAGCAGGGAGGAAAGTAATTACACGCTGCCTGGCTTCCTGAATGGGACTTTCAGTATCGGCAAGTGCCGAAAAAGAAATATTGGTACTCGGTATAGGTGCATCTCTACTGCCAAGTGATTTGTATTACTGTCTCTCCAGTCCTGAGATTTACAAAGCTCTGCAACACAGCACAGCCCTGTCAAGCTGAGGCGAAAAACCTGATCTGTCTCTGCTGCATTTTAACTTTCACTTACAATTCCCCTCCACTGCCATCCTGTGATTAAACGGTGAAAGGAGAAGCAGTATACTGATGGGGTCATCTCGAGGAAGCATGGAGCCCGCTTTCTGGCCAATCAGGAATCCAGGCGCTGTGTAATGACTCACCGCCTGGCTTCCTGATAACGGAAGTTGAAGTATCGGGAGCATTTGGGCGAGTACGAGTCGATATCGGCATTTATACTAGTATCGGTATCGGCACATCCCTAGTAAAGACTGATGCTAAGTCAAATTCATGTACTCAAATGTCTTTAATTAGAAAACAAAAATTACATTTCATTTATGGCTACACGCCTGCAGATATTATATATATGCATGTATATGTATTTATGATTACAGTGCTGCATTAGTGTGTGTGTGTGTGTGCAACCAAATCTTTTTATTTTTTAAGTTTTGGGTAGAGTGGAGAGGGATTAGATTCGCCTTCTCTGTTTGTCCTGAAGACTGTTATCACTGAAAATGAAAGAAAATCCCACATTTTTGGGTTGCCTTCAGAGCAGGAACAGATGGAAAATCCTTCAATGGATACATAGTTCTGGTGACTGCTGACCACCAGCGATTTCCCTCTTTTTGGACGAATTTCCTCTCACTTGCTGTTGTCGGACAGGAAGTGAAGGGAAATCTCCCCAATGAGACACAGAAAATAAACCCCATAAGCTGACGGGTTATAACTCTCTCTGTCTCTTATTCTGTCCAAAACAACAACAAAGAAATGTTGGCTTCAGTTCTACGTTTAAATATAGTGGCAGGATATTATATTTCTAATGTTGTGTTCTGTTTCCTTCTAGTAATCTTTCTGGGAATGTATTTTCCTCTTTGGCACAAGGAACATTTGGGAACCTGATTGCCTTAAAGTCATTGTAAGTACTATCCTGTGCAACATTGTATCTATGCATTACACACCTTTGTACCCATCTATAGCTGTGTATTATGAACTCTGCTTATTTTAGTTTAATACGGTCTAGGGGTGCAATATTTCAAAATCATATTGTCTTTGTGCCAGAACTTTCTCTCCATTTTTTTCAAAGTGAACCTGAACCCTAGCTAATGTGAACTTATTTCTCTATCTGTTCCCCCCAATCCTCTTCTGCTGTCCTATTAACTTAAAGCAGAACTCCTGGTAAAATGTTTTAACCCTTGCTGTGGGGCTACCGCCGCACTGCAAGTGTTAACTGCTTGATTGCGTCTAGGTTCAAAAATAAGAGTTACTCTCACCCAATCGTGAAGGGTAGCCCCACTGCAAGGGTTAATAAAAATGTTGCCTTGAGTTCTGATTTAACCCACAATATTCATCCGTCAAACACAACCCTGCCAATTGGGCCCACAGGTTTGAAGGATAGGATCTGTATTCAGAGAGAACCACTTGTTGGCTGGCATTATATAGAAATCGCCCTTTGAAAGCAGGCGTGTGATTTACCACCATTCAGGCCTCTCCAATCAGATGCCGTCAGAAGCACCAATGGCTTTCTCATACTTACTTTAACTGCCCATACAACCTCAAAAATAAGAATGTTATCATTTTAATGCTGAATGTAATTAAAACAATTATCTCTCTAGAGACAAACATTCTTTACCCAGTGCATTTAGTTACTTTGCATTCATTTTCAAATTTCTTTCCATGCATGGAAAAAAGCAATTGCTCATTGCTATGGACCACACGCTTTTTCTCATTGTTGGCTAATAAAGCCATTGATGAGGGTAGTTGGGGGGAGGATTTCTTCTATAATGACAAGGGGGGAGATGAGCAATTAGGAAAGCCATGTTTGCTCTGTTAGGTTGGCGGCTGTGACGATTGGCTCTGTACATTTTGATTTTCAGTGTGTGCAGTATCCATGACATTCTTTCTGCTGTATTTAAGCCTAGTGAGGATCACAGAGGAAATATCCATAGCGGCCAGCTGTTACACATTTTAAAATCAATTTAGCGTGAAGAAGCAAGCACTGTGACCCTGGGGCTTGTGTGCATGGCACTCTCTGACCTACTTCATTGCCAGCATTGTGCATGTGTGCATGAGCCAAACACATACCTGACACACTAGCGTCTGCTGTACAGGGTTATGTTTAGCAGATATTCACTGGAATGCAACCGGTAATGTGATCTGTCACTTCAAGGGGTTAACGGTCCCAAATCTGTGTCTTTCCAGGACTTCCAGTAATGTTTCATGCTGTGCTTTTGCCTGCAGCCAAACTGTTTGCTCTGCTCAAAATGTTCTGCACAGTTTCTTCAGATATTGTTATTGTGGGTTTCAGCCTTTAAAAAAAAAAAACCTCCAGGCATAATTATTATTATTTTTAACCCTTGCAGTGGGGCTACCCCCAAACTGCAAGGGTTAAGGTTAATTTTCATCTAGGGATGAAATTAAGAAAGTTATACTCACCTGAACCTTGCAGCCGGCTGTCTGTTAGACCGGTCTCTGCCGCCTGTCTCCCCCCTCCGCTGCAGTGGTCTAAGGTCCTGTGAGTCATCACGCCCTATACAGTGTATAGGATGTGAGGACGCCAAGGGACATTCTATGGCTGGATCAGAGGGGAAGACAGGCGGTCTAATAGCCAGCTGGCTGTGAGGTTCTGAATAGTATAACTTTATTTTCATCCCTAGACAAAAACAAGCACTTAACCTTTGCAGTAGTGGGAATGGCATTTAAAGTCCTAATTTGCGGATAGTTATTCCCAGGGATGGGACAAAAGCAACTCCCAAAATAATAACTGTATAAAGTATGTGGTCATGATGCAACTGTTCTGTTGTCCAGTTTGGAACTGGGTATTCTTATCGGCGCACATACTGTGTATGAGATCTCCATGCTGATAGCTCTTTAATAAATTACAGTACATCTATGTAATCTGATCAATTCACCCAAGCCAGGGGAAGAGGATTTGATACCTGCTGAGGTTACTTAAGTTCCTAGGAACACAATACAGAGATCCCATCCATCCTTACATCCAGTATGGCTGTCATAGGCTTGATTCAGGCTTTTAGTGGGCTTCTGGTGTCACTTGTTGCACCTATAGGGCGCAGATATTGCATTTTGGGGCTTCTAGAAGATTGTCTTTTAAGGATACATGAATTGCTCACTGCATCAAGAAAAGCAAAACTTATCTTGTTGTATTTGTACCAGGATAGGGGCAGGTTCTTGTCCAGGGTTCCCTAGACCTTGTGGAGATAAAACTCCGATAATTTCCAACCACAATTAAAGGAGAACTATGAGGTGAGTGCTTTTCACTCACCTCATAATTCTAGCCGACCTGTGACAATGAGACTGTCACAGGTCGGCTCAGTAGATCGGGAGGTGAGCGAACACATACCGGCGTTCGCTCACCTCTCCATCCTGTCACGGCTCTCTGCCGTGACAGGGGAGGGGCTGGATTCCCCCCTCTCCGATCCGCCAGCGCTGACTGGTGGATCGGACGGGGGAGGGGGCGGGTACAGCTGGCTCTGCCTCTAGATAGGCAGAGCCAGTTGTCAGTGACGCAGCTGGGCGGATCCCGGCACAATTGTAGGGATCCGCTTCAGCTGCGGCGTCTCAGTATACCGCGAGCCTAGGGTGACGGGAGGACGCTAGTTTGTGTCCTCCCGTTACCCTAAGGAGAACTATGGGGAAAAGACTTAACCCCATAGTTCTCCTTTAAAGAATCTGATGAAAAAAAGTGTAATTTTATTGTACATTAAAGGAGAACTATGGGGTAAGTGTTTTTCCTGCTGGCTCTCTGCAGTGCCATTATCGAGAAGTAAGCGAACAACACTATGTGTTCGCTCACCTCCCGATCTACTGAGCCGACCTGTGACAGTTTCATTGTCACACGTCGGCTTGAACTATGAGGTTGAGTGAAAATCACTCGCCTCATAGTTCTCCTCCTTTAAGGCAGGGCTGCAATTTTGCATTATTTTAAATATTCCATCTAGATGTAAAAGTATGACATTTTTTCCTGTTAATGTATTTTATTTTGTTTTATTTTTTGGAGACCATTTGTCTAGACCATATACTAATCTGCGGGGATTTGGACACCTTTTTCGTGTCTGTTTTCAGAGAGTTTCAGACGGATTATCTACTTTGTGACTGTAATCTTCTGTGGATGGTTCAATGGATGAAAGCCAAAAATATTACAGTGCGCGAGACTAAGTGTTCCTACCCCAAAGCTCTTCAAGGACAGCCGATAGCAGCGTTGAAGCCAGAACAGCTGACATGTGGTAACGTATTGTTTTCTATCCTGAATTCTACTTTTTTATTTTCAAATGTCATTCTGGTGACCTCACAATTCCACAACACAACTCCATTTGCAGGGCGGGAATTTTGCCCTGTGATGATGTAAAGCGGACCGCCCTGACTGAACTAGAATATTGCTTTAGGTTTAAGATTTGAAAGGGCTCTGCCAAGCATGATATACATGTGACCTGATACTATAAACTCAGCTTCTCTTTAATAGAATAAGGATCTCCTTTGCGAAGAAAAAAATAAAAAAATGATTTCACAGGAACACCATAAGGCTTTGTTCATATGGACGACAAGAGGGCGGTAAAACCAAGCAGTTGATCTATGTTTTTTAATCTCCAGCTGCCCGCTACAGTGTGAGCACTGTGGCAAAACAGTGCTGTATATATTGCTGCTGCTGCTGCTGCTGAAACACTTTGTGTCGCAGCGCAGAAAAAAGTATACAGCGTGTGGTGTTTGACAGGCAGTGCTGCTTGTTAAATATGACCATTGCAATGAATGGTAACGGGATGCAACTGCACAGGTACACGGGGGCGGCAGTGCAATCGAAAATCTCCATTGGAATAAAAAACAAAAAGCCTGCATTAAGCAAGCGGCAGTATCACCTTCTGAACACCAGGCAGCCACTGCTCCACTTCCCTTTGAAAAACGATCCACTTGTGAACCACTTTTCAGAGCGGCGCTGGACGCTCCTGCCCATGTGAAACCAGCTTAACTCCCACTTACTTCAACTGATAATAACTTATAATCAACTGAACGTAATACTGAACTCCAGGTAAAAAAAAAAAAATGTCAGTCAATAAAGTTACATATTCTTTAAAAAATGCAACTAGTAGCTCAATTTTACTTGGTATCGGCTTCTTCTGTTCAGCACTACTGGGAGACGGAGGGGCAGCAGTATGGCCAATTAGGCTCTGCTGCATGCGCATGTGCTGATAAGAATGCTTTGACAGGAGTAGAGAGATATCATCAATGTGCACCTTAACTGTGTCCAATCACAAGCTGTGTTGGTTAATTGCATTATAGGAAAGTGAAGTCTACAACCTGTCTGCGCTGTCTGGCAGGGCTGTGTAAATCTCAGTATTGGATGGACTGAAATAAAAATCATTTGGCTTTCAGGGTATAGTAAAACCATCATTCCTATCAGCTAGAGCAAAATAACATAAATGAGAAAAGGTCTTCATACATGAGACATAGGCAATGCACGCTCTTACTAACCCCTGCACTTGCAGAACAAAAATATGACATACTGTATACTGAACTGAAATAGTCTATTAGGCTGTGTTAACACGGGTGGCAAGAGCAGGCTATTCAGAACCATTTTTATAGCTCCACGACTGCCTGGTGACGCTCAGTAGTAATTGTTGAAAGGACAGCTGACGGTACACAAGGTCGTGTTTGCATCGCTTTGCGCTGCGGTGCATCAAAATGTATCCTGCTTGTGTTTGCCCGGCTTGACACATCTCAGCCGCTCCATTCATGCCAACGGAAATGCGTCTTATACACGCTGTAAACAAGGCAATGACATTTAAGATGCGGTTAGAACCTCACTGGAATCCATTATATTAAAAAAGACAGTTGGGTCTATAAGCAACAAAGCCTAGCAAAAGCAGCATAGGAATCGCCAACTACTGCCAGGTCACACACCACAAACTAACAACACCTCAAATCACATCACTTCGTCTACATTACTTCCCATTTAAAATTGTTGAAAAAAACAAACCAGTCAAGAGCGTCTGAGGTGAGCAGTGTCTGACGTGCGTTAATCCCATACTATAGGTGCATTATTCAGCCTTCATCAGATACTTTCATATTGACACCCATATAAATGAAACTCATTTTGTTTTCTAGTCTTGATTTTATGTGTAGGGCAGAGGAGTAAACCAGGACAATTTTATGATTGTTTGCTTCTTTTGTTATCTGGAATATCATTTTATTACATTTCCAATCTTTTACCCTTTTGCTTTAGAGTTATTGACCCGTGTTTACTTGCTGCTCAGATTTTGTGATGTATATCTTAGTTTCTCAGCACTCCGTTTCCTTTAAAGTTGCAGTACATAGGTCTCTGCCATGCTTTGAAATTTCCTTGGTTTAAGGCTTGTTTTTCTTAGTATATGGGGCGTGACTCTGGACTGCCTTCTGTGATGATTAACATGGACCGTTATAGCTTGTTATATATTGTCACTCATTCCAAGCCTTCCTCCATTTACAATGCTCCTTGTTTAGATGGTGCTAGATGGGTTTTGCATATTACTGGGCTTCTAGCACGTATCTCATCAAATGAACAATGGATTGCTGATTTCTAATCTGAAATGTCAGAAACTCAATCAGTGGTGTGAAAAGTGCACTAACCCATTGCAGCTCAATGCCACACTACTGCAGACCAGTCATTTGAAGATTCATTCTAATTACCACTCTTTAATAAATAAGCTCATACATCGTTCTAACTTTTTTCAACTGTCTCTGTTTTAAGTAAACGTTCTTTATTGTAGTATTTCATCCTGGAGGACTGACTGTAGGATTTAAAGAGAACTTGCATGTAAAGCAACACAACACGGCCAACAGCGTGTCCGCACATACCTGCTGCTACAGAATCTCTCACCTTATTGACATTGATATGCAAATAGCTGCCTTTTCAAATTCTCAATTTCCATAATGATATGCACCCCAACCCCCAGATGACAGTGTCCAGGCCTGCTGAGAGGTGGCCAAAGCTGGCCATAAGCTGGTAGGTTTTTGTTGTTTGTTCCCCAGAGTCCCTGTGTGTGTTGTAAAGTAGCCACCACTCCAAGCTCACTCCTGTGATGGACTACAATTTCACTTTTAGGTTACTAATTTGTATTGAAGTTATAGTCCATCACGGGATCGAGCTTGGGAGTGGTGACTACTTTACAACACACACAGGGACCATGGGGAACAAAAGTAGCCCCCCTCCAAAAGGAAGGACAGTGTCAGCATGAATTCAGAGATGATTTGAGGATCTACAGCCGAGTGATACACAAATAAGATGCATTTTTGTTAATAATTAAGGTACTTGAATGTATTTTTAAGATTTGGCTCCTGAGTTTAGTGTCACTTAAACATGCCAAACCTACATACCAGTTATGTTTGATACTGTAGTTTGATCTAAAGGTTGATGAAACTGGTTTTAATTGTTGTTTTTTTTTTAAATTCTTCACTAGAGTCTCCTCTTGAGCTTCCTTCGTTTTTTATGACGCCATCACACCGCCAAGTGGTCTTTGAAGGGGACAGTCTGCCATTCCAGTGCATGGCTTCCTACATTGACCAGGACATGCAGGTTTTATGGTATCAGGATGGGAAGATTGTGGAGACGGATGAGTCGCAGGGGATTTATGTGGAGAAGAACATGATCCACAACTGCTCATTGATTGCCAGGTATTTCTGTTCTCTCCTACAATATTGTTCTGTGCCCTCCACAGTTATTTTGGTGGAAAACATGTCCCTCTCTTGCTTTGTTGTCCAGTTTCTTAACTGTCTTGAGTACAAGTGGATCATTAGACAAAACTACACTCCATAGTTGATTTGATATAAGGTTTCCTCACTTATTTTGCAGAAGGAAATCAGGCCTAGTAAAATCTAATGAGTACTACTACATTTTAATTACATTTATTATACTGTTTTTTAACGTATTTTACAGTGTGGGTTGTGATGGGTTTTGTTATGGTGATTATATTTTGTTTGTGTTTTAAGGCATTGGTTTTTAGGAGTGGCATGTAAAATATTGCGGCATTCAGTGGCCATTAAGGGGTTCTTTTCTATTTGAAAGATAGGTAAAGCTCACTTGTAGGCATTACAGTAAACGCCATTTGTTTTTTTGTAATAAAGAGAAAAGCCTGGAACTTCGGTCTGTTCTGTGCTACCTGGGCCTCCGCTAAGGCTTTTCCCCCTTACTACTTAGATTCTTGTAAATTAATATATAACTAAAATATATATAAATTTAAAATGTATACACTCAGGGGTGTAACTTCAAATCATAGGGCCCCATTGCAAAACTTTTGCGTCCCCCCTGCTAACTCCATCTTTTTCGGATGGCAGTGTTAAGTGTGACGATACGTGTCATTGATCTTAACATGAATTATATATCAAGGACAAGCAGCGAGAGAGCTGTCAGCATAGACAGTTCACTACTATGGAGCAGTGCTGGGGGTAAATGTTCTAGTAGCACTAATAATAATCACTAGAATAATATTTTATGACAAAATTTGTTTCCCTAATCAGCCCCCCTAGTGGGGCCCCCTCCTACCCCAGGCCCCATAGCGAAATGAACTGTAAGAGTTTGAACATATGTTGGCCTTCATTAAGGACATTTCCCCTTATTAAATTCTTGTAGGTTTCCCTAAAATACAATGGGTACAAACATTTCTTATGTCTCCTAATAATGCAGGGTACTCAGATTTTGCTTTTGCTGACTCTCTTTCTAGTTTTTATTTGTTTGCAACCCCAATGCAGCATTATTTAATGCATAGTTGCTTCAGATAGGTTTTTCCACTGACAGGCCCTTTTTCCATGGACAAGCTTTGCTTTTTGGCTTCATGCTGACTGGTCAGAGGCCACCATAATCTTCCAAAATCTGATGCTTATTATTTTGTTTTTCAGCAAAACAAACCTTATCGCGTTGTAATAAGTTCATTGGTAATATTTGTTATTCTCCCTTTTTTAGTGCTCTGACCATTTCCAATATTCAAGCTGGATCCACAGGGAACTGGGGCTGCCGCGTCCAGAGTCGGCGCGGCAATAACACGAGGACGGTGGATATTGTGGTACTGGAGAGCTCTGCACAGTACTGCCCTATGGACAGGGTTATCAATAACAAAGGGGATTTTAAGTGAGTGCATTATAAGCTCTATGTGTAGTAAAATACATTTACAATTAGAGGACCAGAAAACTCCAGAATACCTTTAAAATTTTTAATGTTTTAATTAACAAAGAGGAAATTAGTAAAAGGAAATGCAGTTTATATTTCAGCATTTGAGAATTGCAGTAAAACAAGAACAAAGCCACCCTGCTGTTATATTAGATCTTTTACTTAAACTGACACTAAACTCTGGAATTAAATGTAAAAATACATTCAAAGACCTCAACTATTAACAAACATGTATGTTATCTGTGTATCACTCGGTTGTAGATCCTCAAATCATCTCTGAATTGGCACTGACACTGTCCTTCCTTCTGGAGGGGGGCTACTTTTGTTCCCCATAGTCCCTGTGTGTGTTGTAAAGTAGCCGCCGCTCCAAGATTGCTCCTGTGATGGACTACAATGACAATACAAATATTAGTAAAGCTAAACATGAGATTGTAGTCCATCACGTAAGCCTTGATGGAAGAATCTGTTCTATTTTTTTCATTCAGCCCTGGGGTTGAGCAAAAAAAATAGAACTGTGTATACCCTACTATAGGTCTGAATTTGTCTTTGAAAAGAAGTGATTATAATTCTATTTAAACAGTAATATGATTTACAGACAATAAAGGAAAAGGTTTTAAAGAAAAAAGTAAATCATTCCTTTTATTATAACTTTACCTTTCTTGTCATTCACATAATTGAACATGAAATTGTTTTATACTAATGAAAGCTTCTAAGACTTCTATACATGTCTACGAGAAGGTCAGACAAGATGAGGGATTAATGTTACTAATGCTGTGAAGAGTTGCCAAGACTTTCATAGTCTAATTGAACAGGACCTGTCATGTTAATACCCAGCCATGTTTATTTTGTGAGAACTGCCAGTGCCAGCATAGCTTTAGAACTGTAAGATTTTTTTTTTCAAACACTTCTAAAAGAAGCCCCTGTGGTAGATGATCCTTGACGCTGTGCTAGACACTGTATGCATTCTTTATAATTGAATTGTGTGTATGTATGTATTTATTATATATGTGTGTATGTATTAGGGATACACCGATATATCGGCCGCCGAAACATATCGGCCGAAAATGGCACTTTTGGCATAATGCCGAAAGTGCAATTTTCCTGCCGATACAGCGGCACATCCCTGATTTCTCTCCTCCGTGCTGGGCACTGTGCTGTGTCCCAGCAGGGAAGAGATAAACTGTGACAGCCGGCCGAGCGCTGCTGGAGGAGAGCGCTGTGAGCGGCCGGTGTCTCTCCTCCCACACCGCTCAGTCCAGAAGAGCGGTGTGTGGGCAGGGACGGCGCTGGCACAGGAGGCTGGGCTCTCACCTCTCCCTCAGCCTCCTGTGACAGTGTGTCAGAGAGGAGAGCAAGATACAAACACTCAGTGATCGCTGAGTGTTTGTAGATAATTGAGGACAGAGTATGTTTACTATATCCTCAATTATGAATGAATGGGAAGTAATCTACATCCACTCCTATTCATTCATAGTATATATATATAAATATTTTCTGAACGTTAACAGAAACTCTTAAATCTTTGGCCAAATGCCCCTAAAACTTGCAGAATTCTAATATCGAGATGTTTTTCCGCTAGGTGGCCAAGAACATTGGCAGGAATTACCACGTATCTGCTGTGCACCCGCTATTCCGCTGGAGGTGGCATCTATCCTGGCACCCAGCAAGATGAGATAAGAGCTTGGCGACGATGTGACCGAGGGGGCTTCTGGGCAGAGGAGGACTATTCTAAATGCCAGTATGCTAATGACGTTACCCGAGTCCTGTTCATGTTTAATCAGGTATTCTTCCACACGATTCTTAATCAAATAGAGAAAGTTTGAGCTTGTGCCTCACAATTTGCATTAAAGTAGATGTAAGTCTAACTAGATTAGTTTGCTAAAAGCACCGTGGGGGACATTTCTTAAGCAAAACAGGAACACAGTTAGATGGAAATCAGTTTGCATCTCAATTAGCAAACTCTCTGCAACAAGTTTATGTGTATTTGTGACCCGTGTATCTGAATTCCTGGCAACAGAGTCTGCAAGGTCTGTGACAGATTTATTACGAAGATAAGACCTATTTTTCACTCTAATCACATAATTAAGAAGTGGTCAGGGTCAGGTTTTATTCTGTCACAGTGCGACTTTTGAGCAGTTGAGGAGGGGCTTTATGATTCATACTGTAACCTTACTGTAACTGGCACAAGTTGTCTCCCTGCTCCTTTTTAGGTTGCCCTTGCTGTGTGACAAAATGAATAAAGGTCTCCTTGAGTTTCCTTTTGTTTTCTTTTTTCCCATGAAATGCTGTTTTCTGCGTTTCCCCCTTTTTTGCATTGCGAATTCCTGTTTACACTCACTCAGTCCTGCATTGGCTGCACATGTTGACTCAGGACCGGCTTTCAAAAAGAGATAGTGGTGGACCATGCCTGCATGGCTGTTTGTAGCCTCCACTAGGCAAGGGTGCAAAAGGATGATAACACTGCAGCATAGCTGGGCGACAGTTGTCACGCTATAACAGGAAGTACCTTCATGGCAAGACCACCTAGTAGTATTTTAATGAAAACTGCCGTAAACAAAAACATTAAAAGCAACTGTAAAAATGATTAGGTTTGTGTTTGTCGCTGAAACACCGGCTTCTTTGGGACCGGGAGCGATGCAGATTGCATCACTTCCGGTCCCATATCTGTCAGTGCTGGGCGTCTGAAGCCCAGGTATAAGCTATTGAAGTGTGATCTGCACTTCAATAGCTTATTTAGAGTGTAAAGGTGGCACTGGGGGTCTTTTTGACCCCTAGCATCACCTTAAGGAGTACCTGTCACCACCATCTGCTATCACATGGGGGCTATGTGATCGCAATTAAAGTAAAAAAAAACAGTTTTTTAAAATGATTTTTTACAAATATTTCTACATTTATTTTATTTAATGCTAAAGTCCCCCGCCTCCGCGAGCACGCGTGTCTTCACGTAAACACGCATCGGGTGCGCCTCTGTATGAAAACTACGAATGCGCTACACTTGTTTGGTATCGCCGCGCACGCAGGAGTGAGAGCAATAATTCTAGGGCCAGTATTTTTGTGTATCTCTAAACTAATGACCTGTGGGGGCTTTTAAAGCATCATCTGTACCTTTTGGGGAACTGAATTTTGTCACCGTTTCATGGACGCACACAATTTTTAACCACTGCGTCTTGGGTATCTATTTGCTCGTTGTAACCTCATATTTTATATTTTATTAAACAAATGGGTATTTTATTGTGTTTTGGGGCATTTAAGTGCATTTTTCACTAAATGTAGAATTTTGGGGGTTTGATAAGGAGTTTCGGCAATATCGTGCGACATAAGACTATAGGGTCTTGGCTTTCAGTAAATATATAATGTTTGGGCGTTTTAAGTAATTTTCAGGCCTAAAAGGTGGAATATAACATTGGTGCAAAAAATGGAAAGAAAAAAAAAAGGACTCAGTCATGAAGGGGTTAAATGTGTGCTTTTTGAGCAACCTAAAGAAGCGCCTCATGATGCCCCTAGTAGTATTAGACATGTAGTGTAATTTTCTGATCATTATAACCATATAGCAATAGCAATACTTTTTAAAATGTGTTTTCTCAGATGCCACTAAACCTCACCAATGCAGTTGCAACAGCTAAACAGCTTTTGGCCTACACGGTGGAGGCTGCAAACTTCTCTGACAAGATGGATGTTATCTTTGTTGCTGAAATGATTGAGAAATTTGGCCGCTTTGCAGAAAAATACAAGGAGGTAAGCTTTCATCATTTATTATTTATAATCTCGCTTTCATTACTGCTTGGACACAGACCTCGTACAACAGCAACTGCCCAGCAGAAGTGTGGATGGTTCACTGGTCTCTGTAAGCCACAGCATAGTGCACATGACCGCTTTAGGGTGGGTCATCGCTATGTTGTCATCTTCAGCAGCTGCGCAGTTCATTGTATGCCTATTTCTTGCATGGTGACTGCATTTTGTTGTTCTAAGACATGTCTTCTGTTGGTTTCAGTAGGTAATAAATGAGCTGTGCATTCTAAAGACTGACTCTCTATTAAGCACTATATTATACTATATAGTCGTGTTGTCTTTTGCACGTGAGCCATATTCAGATGTAGAGAACTGGTGGCCAACCACATTAAAAAGCTGGTAATATTGGCCCTTCATAAAGTGTATATCACTCATACTGTTCAGTAAGAAATGTTCATCAGACATTCTTTGCTGTGCTTTATGCTTCTGAGAATCCTGCAGTTCTTTAAAGGGCATGGCATGTTTTTGCATTAGTTTTTATTTGAACAGCAAAATTGTAGCATATACACATGGCTGAATGAGTCAGAGGAGGGGCCTACCCTCCTTCTCTTACTTGTAAGGGTGCATCCTCCTGGATTTTTCATATGCAGGTGTAATTTATTTTCTCATTGTGTTGCAGCTTGGAGATGTCATGGTTGACATCGCCAGTAACATCATGCTGGCAGATGAGTGTGTCTTGTGGATGGCGCAGAAAGAAGCCAAGGCCTGCACACGTATAGTGCAGTGTCTACAGCGTATTGCTACTTATCGACTGGCCAATGGTGCTCAAGTATACTCCACAGTAAGTCCTGAGTGCCTGTAAGGTTACATAATTTATCTGCTGAGTTTGTGCAGTTTGTGTTTTACAAATTGATTCTCTTCTTTTTCTTTCAGTATTCCCCAAACATCGCTCTGGAGGCCTATGTGATAAAGTCTGCTCTCTTCACTGGCATGACATGCACTGTGTTTCAGAAACTGGCTGCATCCGACCGTGCAGTGTTAGCTGACCTTGGCAGAAGAGACCCAGATGGGAACTTGGATAAACAGCTGAGCTTTAAGTGCAATGTGTCCAGCACTTTCAGCGTGGTAGCATTAAAGGTAATGGCTGGACCAGAGCCAGGCAGATTAATCCAATGTAAGCACCAGTAGGCAGCATTAGTGAACAAGTGATTGCATGCTCTGAAAGTTCAATAGAGAAGGTGACTCTTTAAGCTAGCTTTCCCCTGGCTCCCAGAATTTGTCCTTCCCGAGTTACTTGCTGACATTTAACCTTCTAATTTCACACAGCTGCCTTAAAGTAGATGTAAAGGCAGCATATAACCCCCGACCCAAATGGTACCTCTGACTGTGCTATTCATCCTCTTTATAATTATGTGAAATTGCCATGTTAATTGCCTTTTTGCCACTTGTTTACACATGACTAACCTTGCTTACAGAGAGGAAGGGAGTAGCTGTATGTTCCTTTTATATGAGAGGAAGTTCAGAGATATGAATATGCTTTTGGGTGCCAACAACGCTTAGGGAATCATCCATCTGCAGAGTGGCTGATCATTGTTGTTGGCCTGGCACAGAAAATGGGGTGATATTCACGGTAATAGCAGGAACAACAGGAAAAAAATCTATATATACTGTGTAAATGGTTCATAATCTCAACAAGCATTTGTTGTGGAAACTTTGAAAAGGAGAGTTGCCTGGAGAGATACTTAAAAGTAGAACTCCAGCTTCAAAAATATATATATATATTTAAAATGGTAAAACTTGGGACAATCTATGTGTGTGTGTGTGTATAATAT